CTCTCTCTACTAATATAACTAACCCACCACTACTTCCTACTCTAACCCCACCTAACCTACCTCTCCCTCTCCCTCTCTCCCTCTCTCTCTCTCTCTCTCCTAGAAACCCCATTTATTGTATGGAACATCTCCCTCTTCCTCTCTCTGCAAGAAAACTGTGATTGTATCTTGGACGCAGTAGCCAACAGGCGTGGCCATGGAGGCTGAAGCAGAAAAGAGAAAGAACTTGTTGTCCAAGGCGAAGGCCGCCATGGAGTCCGAATGCTACGACCAGATGGTCCATTTCATGAAGGAAGCGGTGGAAAGCATAAAGAACGGCCTTAACGAAGAAGAGCGCAGACTCCTGTGGACTGCATACCTGAAGTCTATGGATGCACGCTTGGCTTCATGGCAGAACGAAATGTCCAGATCTCATGTTGAGGTCGATCCACAACAATTGGAGGCCGTCAAGCACAAACTTTACACTATCGAGTCCGAGATTGTGTCCATGTGCTCCGAATTTCATGTCCTCATCGACAAGCATTTCATTGTCGACGATAACTCGGTTGAGGAAGATGTCATTGCCTACTTGTTAAAGGGCGACTTAGATCGCTATGTTGCCGAGGTCAGGCCTGATGATAGCCGAAAGTTTGCAGCCGCTTGTGAAGCTCATCTTTCCTACCTAGTTGCCACTGTAACAGAAAATCTGATAACTTCTTTCTACTTTCTTGCGTTATCTTTTCCTTTCTTGATCCTCTTTCTCTAATTAGTTTCCGCAAGAAAAGAAAATTCCTGCCAAATTGCCACTGTAAAAGAAAATCTGAGGACTTTTTTCTAATTTTTTGTGTTATCTTTTCTTTTCTTGATCCTCTTTCTCTCTTTGGTTTTCGCAAGAAAAGAAAATGCGTAGGATTTCGTTGATGGGTGTTCTTTGTTTCTTCAGACTATTGCGAATGAACCAGGGACCGACGTCAGTGACTCCACACGCAGATGGCTCGATAAGAACTTTTCAATTCTCAAGACCGAGTTCTTCAGCACCGAAGTCGCCAAGAAGGCAGGTTCCATCATGCCGTGTCCTTCTAAGTTTCTTTTAGCTGAATTTGTGGTTCTACAATTATATGAGATAGTTGATTGATTGAAGAGAGCTTATGTTTATTTGGTTGAGCTTTCGCCATCAACCGTATCAAGAAGAAGGAAATTCGTGATACGGTTGAAAGCAAGAAAGTTCTGGTTTCTGCCCGATCTTGTTTTGTTTTGTGAAATCAGTTCTTGGCCTGTCAAGAAAATTATTTCTTACCCAAACAAAAAACAAGAAAATTATGAGATACGTATTTCAAACACGAACTTTCTTTGATTTCTATGGAATTTATTAGTAAGTTAGTTTTTGGTTTGCATTTGGAAACGCAGGATTTCCGTGAGTACATACTTAAATGGTGTGAGACCGAAATGGAAGTCTACGAGGGCAATGAACGCGAGTTGTACAATCTTCAAAAAAGCAAGATAAAACGCAAATTATATCGAGCTATGGTCTCGCACCATCTCAAATCTCCATTTGCATTTTTCTTTTTTCTTTTTTAACTGGTTTGGTTACTGTTCCTCAATCTTGTTATAAATTTGTTTCTTCTGTTTGTTTCAGGTGTTAAAGGCTATTCTCGATGAGGTACAGCGAGAGAAAGTGTCACCCTCTTTACATTCTCATTACACAAATGTGGAGTGATCCTCCTTTATAACTTCTTTCTTTTGAATGGTTAATGATTTGCTCTCAGGATGTACTAGTGCCAGTTCCAGTACCAGTGACAGTGCCAGTACCAGTGCCACCACCCGAGAATGTAACTTCCCTACCCACTTCCGTGAATCTTGTTATGTGGCTGGTTATATCTCGTTTGTTGAATCAATTCTTGGCCAGTGAACTAAATTATCTAACATGGATGGAACACTCCTTGATTTTTGTGGAATTCAATAGAAGTGCGTTTTTAGTTTCGATTTTCGAATGCAGGCACTCTAGGATTCCATGGCTGAACTGGGTGAGATGAAAAAGGAAGGGCAGCCTCATGGACATCCGTGATGAAAACTTTAAAAAATTGAGATTGGATCCATCTATGGTCTCTCTCGCAACCTCTTTACCCCCTGCTCCATTTCTTTTCAACTTCATTTTTCTTCTTCTTTTTTTGGGTTGAGTGATCCTTTATCTTGTTATAAACTAGTCACTTTTGCTTGTTTCTCGATTCGTGTAAGGTGCAAGAGACCCTTCCACCCTTTCCACCTTTTCTTAATCCATTTAAGGATTTGAACCCAGGAGATAAGGGGGACAAAGTCTCAGAAGGTTTCACCATCTCTACATATCTACTCTTTTCTGCTCTTCTTTGGTTTTTCTTCTTCGGTGTTATACTTCTTGTAGAATATGGAGAATGATGAATGTAGTTTTCCTGATGAGCTGGGCTTCCATACGCAACGCCACCATCGAGCTCGGTTACTGTACAAACACTCATTCATTGTGTCAAATTACAATGTGCATTTATTTTCTGTTTCTTCGTTCATTTAACCAGTAGAATACGGATTAAGAACCCAGCATTCCTTGAGTTTTCGGATTGTGTTTGGAGCTTCTTGTTTTTTAATTCATTTGGACTCGTTTTAAAAATGTATTTGTAGCTCTGATTACCACACCGGGACACCCGCTTACCTCTATACACAGATAGAGAGAGAGAGAGACAGGGAGCAGGGAACGGGTAAGCCACAGTGAAATTACTCGTTCAATTGTAGAAATGAGGGGTGGATTTGTGATGGTTGACAGTAAGATTGACAATTCCAGTTTTGGAGAAAAAATAATAAAAAGGGTAAAGGGCTTGTTTCGGGCTAGTTGGTTATCGGGACTCTGTAATGGCTGAGGCAGAGGGTTTCTAGATGGGACTTAGGTTTTTTGCTATGTTTCTTTGGGGCTTTATAATAGAACAATTGGAAGGTGACTAACTTAATACCATTATGTTGGTACGATGGAGCATCAATGTAGGATTGATTGTAGTCATGACTGATGAAATTTTTCGCCATTTTTTACTTGGGAAAATTTTCATCGACAATATCAATAGACAATATCAATAGAACAAGCCAGCGTCCTTGCTAAGCAGGGAAGCAGAACAGAGAAACTGGCTTGTCTTGATTGCTTAGTTTGAGGACATCCCCAATTACTCGTGTCATGGTATAAATTGATGTATGCTCCTTTATTCGCTCAAGGGAAAAGCTAGCTACAAAAATCATGAGAATAATGCTCAGTGTATTGCACTATCCTCTGGTCAAAATTAGCTTGTCAATATTTCTTATCTTGTATTTTCAAGGGATTTGTGCTTACAAATCGCATATGACTGCTTTCTTTTATGGCCAGGATGATAATCCATATGATAAGAGAAAAGAAAGGTCAATGTGTCAATGAGTTCTGCAGGTTTTCTAGAATCAACTCCATGATTAATCTAACCAACTCATTTAATATTTGTAAATTAATTGAACCTACTCTGTCTATTTATTGAGTGGTAGTTAGTTTTCTATAAAATCAATCTCCTTATACACCTTGTTTGTCATCTATAGTAATTTGACTGGGAAAAGAAGGATATCTATAGGCAACATGATGAAATCCCCTGCGATAAAATTATATGAAGAATTTGATTTTTTGTTCTATTGTCTAAAATTATACCATGTAAAATTAAGATAATATTTTTTACATCGATATTTACTATGGAATAAATTATCTGCAATTCAAAGGTAAAAAAAAAACTAGATTTATGTGTTTTATGAAGATTATATGTCCAATTAGATAGGCTGAGACCTCTGTGGGTAAATGTTCAACATCTACGATTTATAAAATTTCTCTTCGACAGATTGTGTTGATGTTGATCATAGGATCAGTTTCATAGATAATGGGGGAAGGGTTTATGCAATGCGACATGGCAGGTGTGCACCAAAGCTTAACAGCCCCCCAGACCAATGGCGTGCACTACTAAGAGGCCTCACAACATAGCAGTGAGATTGGAACCCTTGATTTTACACTGTGGTTTCATCGCCATAACCACCAAGCCATGAGTCCGAATTCTAATAATTTTGTATTTCATACCACTGCCGATGCTTTTCTATCCCTATCACTGGCCGCACATGATAATCTTCTGTTTGTTCAATTGCTGCGCTTGGCATGCCACCAATGCTGGCCCTCTCCGACTGTTTCCTAGTTTAGTTGTCATTCATATTTTCTTTTGTTTTATGTGTGTTTACTTGCTCTCTTATTTCCACCGCATGATGACTTTTTGATAAAGCAGAACATGCTTCCTTGTTTCTTATAATGGGCAAATACATCAATCGTGCTTTACAATTGTCCAAACGTGAAACTGGTGGACATTAAGATATGATTTCTCTAGAAGAAACAATATTGTCAAACTTTTCACAGAAGAAAAAGAAGAAAAAGGATATGGTGTCTTTAGGTTTGCCATCATTTCTTAGCATTTACTTACACTGCTACCTGTTACAACTGTGTGAATCTACCTTCCTTACTTTGGGCGTCAAGACCTTTCCCTCCTATAGGGGCTTTATGTTGTTAAAAAAATTATCTAATTTGTTCAAAAAATTATACTTTTTGTTGTAAAGGGATGTCTGAGTTTAATTTGATAATGTTGTTGATAGCTTACATAGTGTATTGTAGATGTCAAATATATGAACACATCAAACAATATAAGTATTCCATGAACACCAACACAGGTGTCGGTGTTCGTGGCCTAGGTACCTGACAAGGCAAACGAAGAAAAGTAGCCACACTGGGACTTGTCCTCACATGAGTAAGAGAAACAAATATAAAATATTTAATAAGAAATGAATATATGTAACAGAGGTAGCATTGTATGCTGGATATTGGGTTTCCTATTTGATTGCATCTCCGCAGCCTTCAAATGTTGGCAAGAGACATTTGGGCGTGTGTCATCCTCCACTCAAGGGCTGCAAAACATTTTACAGATTTTGGAAGGAGAAATGATATTACTTTTGATTTCTTTTTTCTTTGTAAAGTTAAGAAGTATATATGTATAAATGTATCATTCACTGTCACATGTACATGTGATAGCGTTCGTTAAGATATATAATAATACTTAATAAGAACCTTTTATTCACATATTAAGGGAATATATATGTATTCAATGAGTAATGTAAATTTGATGGTATGTAATCCAATGTAATCAATCAACGGTCAGAAAGTATAAAAGGACCGTACTTTCGATATCTTGGGTTGATAATCCACGAAAATAGAGAGATCGATGAACATATTGCACACAAAATTAGAGTTGGGTGAACGAAGTGGAGATGTACAACTAGAATTTTATATGATTGCTGCATACCAATAAGGTTGAAAGGCAAGTTCTATAGGACAACGGTGACACTAGCTTTGCTCTATGGAGCGAAATGTTAGGCGGATAAAAAAATATACCCATAAAATGAGTATAGCGGAAATGATGATGTTGAAATGGATGAATGGCAAGACAAGAAAGGATAGAATTTGAAATGAATCTATTCAATAGAATTTAGGCGTGACACCAATAGGTAATAAAATGAGAGAGAGTAGACTTAGGTGGCCTGACCACGACCAAATACAGTACCTGTTAGGAGGCGCGAGTTAGTTCAAGTAGAAGGACTGAAAAGGGTAAGGGATAGGCCCAAAAGGACGCGGTTAGAAGTAGTCTAAAAAGAGATATGGCCTTTAGTAGACCAGAATGGAGAACCACGATTCATGTAGCGGACTCCAATTAATTGAAAAAAAACTAAAATGATGATGATAATGATGATATATTACTAATTAAAACTTTAAAAATATGTTCAATATTGGAAGTGTTTCGATGTTTGTAACACAAGCCAAGTCAGGTAACATTTTATATGACTTAAGGAGGACAGAAGTCACGGAACTCATTTCCATCCTTGCTAGGCTTCTCACATGAAAGATCACCACCTTGTCGACATCACTGGATTCTTAGAATGTGGATAAGTGAGACATCTAAGAAGAAAATATGAATCAACTACACAAATCTTTGGTGAGATAGTCCAATGTTTAGATCCTCTTATTGCTGCCCCATTGCTTTCTAAAAGCGACCTCCTTCATAATCTATACTTTGATACCATATTTCTTAGGATCTGAGTGTCAGTGTTGTCATCATGCAATAAAGGCTACAAGTTTTGTTTGATATAATAAAAACCTGTAGATCTTTCCTCTCTCTTTAAGAAGTAGAAAAATCCCCCTGATACTGGAGTCCCAAAGAAATAGAGTTTCTTTGCATATCTTTTTCTTCCATTATAAAGTAGGAAAATAGATACAAATTTTATTGTTTAGGATTCTTTAATCATTTAATATTAGAGATATGAAAAATAAGTTACTCGAAAATAATTTCCTAATTAATGAACTTTATTTCCTCGTACAATAAATTCAAATGCTTAACTTATAAGGAACCTTTAGTATTTTTGGGTTTGAAAAATACTTAAGTATATTTCAAAATAATATCTCTTTAGTGTAAAGCTCTGGAAATTATGTTTTGTCTTATGTTTAGAGAGATAATTGATGGGATATTTATCTCATATTAATGATGTGGATGATGGACACTTTTCTTAAATATGTGTTCACTTGTGTTCTAAGAACCAAGGGAAAAAACACATACGTGGAGCACGAGTAGCATACGAAGTGCAAAGTAATATACGTAGTGTACAGCGGGATTCTGAGACCCTTCATTTACCTGTAATAATTTTCCTTGTTTTTACTGCCCCTGTTTCACCCTCCTTTTCAACACCTATTTGTTGTATTTCTTCTAGGAAAATGAATATGGAACTGATAGAGGACTATGGTGATGACAAAGTGACGATTGTCCCATAGTCTCTCCTTCTATATAGGAAAATGAACATTACTTGCCCCTAATATATATATATATATATATATATGACAGTGCTTGTGCCCTCTCTCTATGTGTATGACAGTGCTTGTGCATGTTCTCTCTTCTGTATGCCTATGCTTGTGCCTCTCTCTCTCATTCGTTGGGAGGTCACAGAAACTGTAGAGATAACATTGTTTGGGCAGAAATTCATCAAAAGAAAAAACATTAAAGAAATGACCTCTTTGATGGGTGAGCCTCAACTTTAGGAATAATAAGATAATAAACTCCTAAAATAATTAATATTAATTTAAATAATTGTAGAATCTATCAGTCAACGCCACAGTTTGAGCTAAGCTATTTGTATTCCTTTGTTTTTCTTTTTGGTTTGGTGAGCTTGATTTGTATGAGGAAGGTTTAAACCAAGATATCTATTGTGCAAACCAGAGGGGTCATCAAAGGCTTGATGGGTACTATTTATATTAAAAAATCCCATATGAAGCTATGGGAAGAGGAGCTAATATTTGAAATATTATATATTTGATGATTTTTTTGATGTTATGTAACAGAGATGAGGATATTGAGATGGACGAGTGGCTAGATAAAAAAAGATAAAATTCAAAATAAATACATTCTAAAAAATTTA